ACCTAATTGCACTGAAAGTGATCCAATTTGGTTCCAAATAAGCATAGATGAACATTTAAAGTATAACTTAAGGCTTTGGTGCATGGAGAGTCGATTAATCTCTAAATTTGGTAAGCTTATATTCAAATCGAGTGGTTCTATGAGAGGAATCAATCAAGCTTAAATTCATTTAATTCCGAGGCTGATAAGGCACTTAGATGCTAAAAAAATAACATATGATTAAAGCAATCAACAATGGTCGTCTGGTCAAGTGTTTTGGGAGGTTGACTAAATTTATCAAAATGCATATCCTAGAAATTAGAAATAAACCTCCATCCTTCATGTAAAAGGGAGGATGAAGAGAAGAGTTAACTGATAATTAAAGTATAACTCATGTAGAAAAGTGCACATGAATGATTCCTAGCTGTTGTCGATTACCACCGGCAACTCTTGTAAGCAAAAATTATAACTTTTGTAGGCAACTACATCAGTTATAGCCACTAACGATAGTTGTTATAGCCAAATATGACAACTGTATCCAAACTACTACTATATAGTTGTGATAGGTAGTTTTTGTTATCACATCATTCTCAATTCAAAAGAAAAGTGGAGCTTTATGTATTTAATTTTCTAGTGGATTACTTTAACTATGCTAGACTCAGTGATTTTTTTATTTTTTCAGAGGTTTTTCACATAAAAATTATGATTGCTTTTTTTGCATTTCTATTTCTGGCAGTGCTGAAAAATTATATCTGAGTAATAGTTTACTGCCATTGAGAATTTTCTAGTATGCAATTGACCTAATTTTTGCATTAATTTTACGCACCGGGTATTATCCATACAACAACAACAACAACGAGCATTTATCCGACTAAGTCAGGTCGGCTACATGAATCATTTTTCTCCATTGTCCTATTGAAACATCATACCTATGCCTGATTGGCCAATTTACCTAGGATCAAAAACAACAACAACAACAAAACCTTTATCCCACTAAGTCAGGTAGGCTACATGAATCTTTTTTCTCCATTGATTCCTATTTAGTGTCATATTTTCACTTAATTCTAATAAATTAAGATCATTTTTAATACAATATGCCCAAGTCTTCCTAGGCCTACCTCTGTCTTTCTTAACATAAGTCGAATTCTTTCTTTACCTCTGTCTTTCTTAACATAAGTCGAATCTAAAACATCTACTCTTCTAATCGGATCATTAGATATTCGACGTTAATGTGACCAAACCATCTAAAAAATGTCTCTCTAATTTTGTCTGTCACTAGAGCTACACCAACCCTATCACGGTCACGGATATATTCATTTTGCATTTTTTGTCTCTAAGTGTAAAGCAACTCAACCACCTAATCATTCTCATCTCGGCAACACTTAACTTAGTTTTATGCTTCTCTTTTAAAGGCCAACATTCAACACCATAGAGCATTGCAGGTCTCACCACCATCTAATAAATACACCATCTAATAAAATTATCCTTCCAGTTTAAGCATTACTTTTCAATCACACAATAGGCCATAAGCATTCCTCCACTTCAACCAACCCCATCAATATCACCATCACTTTGAACAATAGACCCGATACTTCTAAAGAGTTTACTCCTTTTAATAATTTGATTACCCATAGTTACATTTCTGCCACTAGAGCTGTAACTAGTGAAATTAGATACCATGTATTATCCATCAACATAATTTAATTATTAGAAACTATGATTTAGTGTTAAAATCAAATACAACACAATTATTAGATTAAAAAAAATAAATTATTAGATATTCACAAAAAAATCACCATAAAAAAAATAAAATGAATTTAATTTTAATAAAATTCTTACAATCTTGAATACTATAATAATTTTAAAAAAATATTATCTTAATTTTTAGAAAATAAAAAACAAATATAATTAAATTATTTGAAATTTACAAGTATAATTATGGCAAAAAAAAAATGAGAATCAATAAAAGTTCCCAAAAAAATCATAGAGAAGCGGGTTAGTTAGCTCATCAAACATGTATAATAAAATTAACCCATTTTGATTCAAAATATATCAAGAAATAAAAAAAGAAAAAAAGTATTTTAGCAATTTTTTTCTTAAATATAAATCAGCTAAACTCAAAAAAAAAACATTAAGTATGAGAATCAAATTACTTGAATATTCCAATCTATATATATATAAGCTCTTATATATATACACAAATGGCATTCATTTTTTGGCCAAAATATCATTTTTTGGCCAAAATAAGAAAAAAAAAGTTATAATGAAATTCTATGGTAAGAAAATAATAAAATTAAAGACATTTAAGTAAAATATAAAACGACTTTTTATCTTATTAACTAATTCAAATATTCGCTAATTTAAATACTTTTTCTTCTATAGTTTTATATCTCAACTAAAATAGTTATTAGAATATATGGAATGCATTTTTTTTTAGGGGGAGAGTACATACAAGGCACCCAAAACAGTGTTATTTAAATTTGAGTGAGAATACATTGATAAGAACTAGAGGTGTTTTAAGCCTCTCAAATCAAAATGAAGAATGCAATACATTAAAATAATTTAGGTAGCTTTATTAATACACCATGGATCATTCTATTAGATTATAAAGATTTCTTTGTGCACGTGCATAAGAATTTAGGGACAAAGAAAGAGAGAGAGAGAGATGAGCTTGAAGTTTTGTTAGAGATAACTTTGTCTTTCAGACAATCACCACAGTTTTATTTGGGGAACCACTTTCTTGTTATTTTCTAGAAATTTTTGTGAAGCAAAGCTACCTGACATGTTAAAGTGTGGTGACTGTACGAAAGCTATTGTCTTATTTTTTGGAAAAAAAAAACATATGTTTAAAGTTCTCACTGCAACTTTCTAATTAATTGTTTTCTCCACCACAGTTTTACAATCATCTTTTCAGATAACTGCAATCATCATAAACATACCCTAAAGCTCCTCCTACGACCACCTAATTCCTACGTATTTATACAACTAACAAATAAATTTTATATTTTTACATTTATATCAACCAAATGTTTTACAACACCTTAAAAATATCATTATTTTAATTTTTTAAAATTAAAATGCACCTTTTCATGCAAAAAAAAGTAAGGTTGAGCAGTATGCATGTAAGCCTATGATTTATACATAAAACTACTTAATTTGACCTAAATCTAAAACATCAAAAACAATAATTTTATCAAACTAAATCAAACCATTCAATGTATGATCAACCTCAAACCAAGTTAATTAAAAATATATGAGCCAATACTCACTATATAACCAATGAAATTACACCAATATATATATATATAT